AAAGAAAAAGGCACGACTCAATCCTTCAGTTTCTTAAACCTGACAAAGCTGGAGACGACTGGTCAAGAGTGATTAAACAAAGCTGTTTTTAGACACACTGTGTTCTGTCTTAATCATTATTTATTTTTATTATTAAAAAGTTTAAGAATGCCAAATTTATTGAAGGAAAGCCTACAGATAAGATAGCACCACAGGATCAGATTTATTTTTCTAAGATTCAGACCTGTGACAAACTGATTTCAGCTTTTAGCCAGTTAAGGAAGTGATCAGGGGCCGGCCCTGTGGCTGAGTGGTTAGGTTCGTGTGCTCTGCTTCCGAGGCCCAGGGTTTCACCGGTTCCGATCCTGGGCGCGGACATGGCACCTCTCGTCAAACTATGCTGAGGAGGCATCCCACGTGCCACAACTGGAAGGATCCACAACTAAAAATATATGACTATGTACCGGAGGGCTTTGGGGAGAAAAAGGAAAAATGAAAAAAAATCTAAAAAAAAAAATGATCAAATTACATAATTAAGAAGAAAAGGACATAAAATAGTCTGTTTAATATGATCCTAGTTTTGTGTTCTTTTAAAAAGTGATCTCCCTGTCTATTAAGATCTTGTTAAGACTGGCTCAAACTCCATTCTGTGAACGGAAGAAAGTCCAAAGTTGTTATCATAGTTCTTCAGATTCCTGAGACTCAGAGCCACCTTTGGTTCCAAGCTCCTGCTTCCTCCAACAGTGGTTATCTTGACATCCAACGCATGTCAGTCTGCTGTTCACATTGATTCAGATGTGAAATTCAGCCATTCCCCCTAATTTGCACAAAAAATGAGCCGCACAAAGTGTTCTGTGTTTAGCAGACTTTATTAAAGGTTGGAGATGGAGGCATTTACGTTCCAGTAATACGAAGAGTTTAACGTTGTATTTCGTCAATTTTAAGACACGCAACTTCTCTCATTTTAATATTTCTGAAATAAGAACGTGTCTTACAACTGAAGGCATGTCAGAGTGTAGTCGGCAGTGTCTTTTCTTTCTCAGTGGTACCCAGAATAATGTGCATTTTACAATCAATGGCATCTTAGATTCAATGAAAAAGGGAATTCTACTTCTCTGTGCTTAAAAAGTCCTCTGATGATTTCCACCACCTGACCTCTTCCTTCTTCCCACGAGGCTCTGATCCAGTCTGGTGCCCTGTGTTACATTTCTTCAGCCCACTTCTGATTTTGGCAGTAACTGTAGTGGGCAGTTCCCTATCAACTTTACTAACAACATTGCCCCAAGTGTGCTGTGTGTCTTTTCACTTTCTGCTGCAGATAAATCTGCCTGGCCAAGCACAGCTCAGAAGTGTAGGGGTTAACATCCCCAGGGGCAACCTTCAGCTAATGAGTGTCAGGAGCTGGTGGGTGAATGCCCCTGCCTCCCTTCCTCCAGGGGGATGATTTTGGGAGGCATTCTTTATGCTTCTCAGGAGGTTCTGGACAAATCAGGCCCACAGTGACAAGCTTGATCACACACCTTACAGTAGCTTTCCCACCTTCCTTTTCTCACACTCCCAGCTTTCTCACTCCGCTCCCTGGGATCACTGCTCAAATAAATTACCTACACACAAGTCCTTGTTCCGGGCTCTGTGTTTATTTTTTTTTTTCTTTTTTTGTGGTGGGGAAACTCAAGCTTGGACTCTCTTTGTACTCTCCCTCTCAGAGGCCCCTCTTTCTTTATGCAGAACCATTCAGCTCTTTCCATTCCTTACATCCAGATTCAGCTCAGGCTTTTCCTTTGCATGTCCAAGATTTCAGCTGCAGCTTTGAAAGGATTGTGGTAAATGTATGCCAGATTCTGTCTAGGTCAAGGGGTAGGGACTGTTTTCGTTTTTCAGCCTACGTCCCTAAAGAAAGAAAAACTGTAAGGACCCATGTCAAAACGTCAAATATGGTTATCTGAAGATGGAAGGATGGGTGTTTAAATTTTCTTCTTTTTGCTCCTTTGTATTTTCTAAAATTTTTGTAAAGAATATGTCACTTTTATAGTAAGGAAATTACAAAAGTTATAAAAACTTGATCAAACTGACATCCCTTTTAAAATAACTTTTCTGACGTAAAATTTATATACTGTCAATTCACCCATTTTAAGTATACAATTCAATGACTTTCAGTAAATTTGCAACCATTACCGTATCCAGTTTTACAGCATTTTTTTCTCCCCATAAGATTCTTCATATCTGTTTATAGTTAAACCTTATTCCCACCCCCAACCCTAGGCAAACATGAATCTACTTTTCTGTTGCTATAGATTTGCCTTTTCTGGATATTTCATATAAATAGAGTCACATAATATGTAATCTTTTGTGTTTGGCTTCTTTCATTTAGCATGTTTTTAAAGTTCATTCATATTGTAGCACGTATCTACATTTTACTCTTTTTTACTAGTATTGGTATTCCATTATGGATATACCACATTTTGTTTCTCTCTTCACCAGTTAATAGGTATTTGGGTTCTTTCCACTTTTTGGCTATTATGAATAAAGCTGCTAAGAAAATTAATGTATGAATCTTTGAACATATGTTTTAGATATGTTTTGATATGTAGGAGTGGAATTGCTAGGTCATATTAAAAACTTATATTTAACCTTTTCAGAAACTGCAAAACTGCTTTTGAAAGTGGCTATACTACTTTACATTTCCACCAGCAATGCGTGAGAATTCCTGTTTCTGTACATCTTTCCCAATGCTTGTTATCATCTGTCTTTCCAATCATAGCTAACCTGGTAGATATGAAGTAATAGCTGGTGGTTTTGATTTGCATTTCCCTCATGACTAATGATGTTAAGCATCCTTTCATGTGCTTGTGAGCCATTTGTACATCTTCTTTGGAGAAACGTCTATTCAAATCTTTTGCCCATTTAAAAATTGGATTTTCTTCTTCTTGAGTTGTAAGCATCCTTTGTATGATACAAGTTTTTTGCCATATATGTGATTTACAAATATTTTCTCCCAATCTGTGCCTTGTCTTTTCATTTTCTTAATGTTTTTTGAGTGCAAAGTTTTTTTAAAATTTTGAAATAAGGGTTCACAGAAGTTGCAAAGATAGGATAGAGAGGTCTCATACGGTTCATCCAGTTTTATCCCCAAATTTTGAATTTTAAGTCCAATTTATTAATTTTTTTCAATGGATCATGTTTCTCAGATTGCCTCTAAAAAATCTTTGCCTAGCCCAAGGGTCTTGACATTTTCTCCTGTTTTATTCTAAAAGCTTTATAGTGTTAGCCCTTACATGAATGTCTTTGATCCATTTTGAATTAATTTTTGTATATAATGTGAGGTAAGGGTCTACATTCATTTTTTTTGCATGTGAATATCCAATTGTCCCATCACCATTTGTTGAAAAGACTCTTTTTCTATCAAACTGCCCTTGTCAAAAATCAATTGGCACTTCCAGTTATAAAATAAATAAGTCATGGAGATGTAATGGACGGCATGGTGAATATAGTTAATGATACTGTATTGCATATCTGAAAGTTGCTAAGAGAGTAAATCTTAAAAGTTCTTATCACAAGAAAAAGGAATTCTATAACTAAGTAACTAGGTATGTTGATGGATGTTAACTAGACTTATTGTGGTGAACATTTCACAATATGTACAAATATTGAATCATTATGTTGTAGCTGAAACTAACATAATGTTGTATGTCAATTATACTTCAATTAAAAAAATCAATTGACCATAAATATAAGGGTTTATTTATGAACTCTCAAATCTGTTCCATTGATCTATACTTTTATCCTTATGTCAGTACCGAACTATTCTGATAACTGTAACTTATATTAAGTTTTAAGATTAGGAAGCGAAAATTCTCCAACTTTGTTCTTTTTCAAAATTTTTTTTGGCTATTTGGTGTCTTTTGGCTTTCCATATACATTTTAGGTTTCTCTTGTCAATTTCTGCAAAAAAAACCTGCTAGAATTTTGATGGAGATTGAGTTGAACCTGTAGATTGATTTAGGAGAACTGCCATCTTAACAATACTGAATCTTCCAACCAGTGAACATGGAATGTCTCTCCATTCATTCAGACCATATTTCATTTCCCTCAACAATGTTTTGAAATTTTCACTGAACAAGTCTTGCAATTCTCTTGCTAAATTTATTCATTTTATTCTTTTTAATACTATTGTTAATGCAATCGCTTTATTTTTATTTTCAGGTTGTTCATTCTTGTATATAGAAATACAATTTATTTTTGTATGTTAATCGTGTATTCTGTAACCTTGTTGAACTTGTTTATTAACTTTAATAGGGGTTTGCGAGCATGTATGTGTTTTCCTTACGATCTTCTGCATACACAATCATGTTGTCTGCAAATAAGGACAGTTATACTCCTTTTCTAATCTAGATGACCTTTCTTTTCCTTACTGGCTAGAACCTCCAGTATGATGTTGAATAGAAGTTGCAAGGGCTGACATTCTTGCATTATTTTTTTCACCATTAAGTACGACGTTAGCTGTAGGTTTTTCATAAATGCCCTTTATCACATTGAGGAAGTTCTCTTCTCTTTCAAGTTGTTTGAGGATTTTTACTATGAATTAGATTTTATCAAATGCTACTTCTGCACCTATTGAGATGTTTGTGTGGTTTTTATCCTTTATTCTATTAAGATGGTGTACTACATTGATTTTAGAAGCATCTTTGCATTTCTGGGTTGAATGCCTCTTGATCAGAGTGTATAATCCTTTTTGTATGTTTGCAGATTCAGGATCAATCTGACTTTTAAAGATATTCTGACTTTGGAAGAAATGCAGGAATTAGTCAAGTGAAGTGGTCGCTTTATAAAATCTTGACGGTTTTAATGATATTTTTAAGAATTAGAAAATTCAAACATCAGTATCTTTCATCATTAGAAGATTCAAAACACTTCTACTGAGTATAATCTATGTTCCAATTAACAATGTAGAATGTTTTTTCAAACTATGCATTCTTTCTACATTTTACAAATATTTTATTCACCTGATAAGAGGGAGTCAATTCAATTTTGTGAAAGTTTATTATTCATTTCTTAGTGGTATCTTTTGGGAGCAGTATTCATTTTATTCATCACAGTTATAGGTTCAAACTCATAAACTTTTTGAAAGACAAAAACTCAGAAAGTTTCAACTATGCAATTTTAATATCTAGTTCTGGTTTTGAACAGTGAACATTACAGATTTATCCCCATTTTCATCCTTTTCTTTCAAAATGAGTTTGAAAAGATCATTCTCTTTTTCACAAGCTAGAAAGTATCCTTTATACAGTGAAGACTCAAACTGTATCTTATCATCATGTCCTGGAACACTTCTCTGAAAGAATATGATGTCATTTCCTTCATCATTGATATTCTCAGGAGGACTCATTTCCTATTGAGAAAAAAAATTACTCAATTTTTTAAGGACATGAACAATTTGAATATGTGCAGTTTATCTTGAAGTATATTATTGCATAGAACTAAAGAAGTTTTTATTCTCAAAAGTTAAGGAAAAAAAATCTCTGACTATAGGAATACTGATCTCCCCCTCTTAATTCCCAATCTCTTATTCTCCCTGTCCACTCTGGCTTTTCCAACCATGAAATGCACATTCAGGTCTAGGTCTCTAAGTTTTTCCACATTTATCCACCAGATAGCTTCCTTCTCTTCTCTCCCCTTGAGTGGAGTCCACACCTGCTCAAGAAGTAGAGCTCCAGCAAAGACCACAACCTTTTTGGGCTAATGTCAGTGCCTGTCTTCTCCAACCATTCACAGCTAAAGATATTGATGACCCCCACCCACAGGCCTAGCCTAGCTCTAGTTTGTGAGCCAAATGTGAGAGAGCAGGAGGGGCAGGAATCTCAGTTTCTTCCTTCCTTCAGCGGAGCCTAGAACTGAAACTTGCTGTAAACAGACACACCATTCGTTCTAGGGCTAGGTCCTGGGCTCCTGTACAGCCCTGCTGTACTGGCTTAGCCAACAGACTTTGACTTTTTCTGCCAAGCACTCCAGTTCTATAGTAGTCCTGAATTTCTATTGTGAAAGTAGTCTACTGGATGGGCCCTGCTCTGTAAGGGCAAATACTGAGTCCTATATCTTTCAGCTTCAGAATAGGGTTTTCTCAAGAATGGCTAGATCACTTGAAACCATAATCCTGCTGGTCATCTAACTGATAGTACTACCTGCACTTTTCCTGTTGTTGCGTCACGTCTACTTTACAGGATGGACTAGAAAATGTGAGGACCACCCAAGTTCTTTCCATGTTAATCCTGGAACCAGTAGACATTTTGAACTTAATCTTAACCCCATGGTGACAAAGATCTCCATGATCCTAACTAAGGACTGACTGAATGACCTCCAGACCCAAAATGGCATTCCAGCTTTCTCCTAAGATGCCCGAAAGAACTGCGGGGGGTGGGGTGGGGTTGGCTCCAAATTTCTCAATTATGGAATTTATAGTCATAACTCTTGACGTTTGTCCTTTATTGACAAACGTGAGTCCTGAATTGATGACAATATAAACTGGATCCCCTACTGGCACTTATTTCTGCAGCTGTCTACAGTATATGAGAATTTAGCAAGAGACTCTAAGCTGGTGAAGCCAATTTGAGACTAAGCTAAAGTCTAACGTAAAAGTGAGAAATAATCCTTAGCTGAAATTTCAAAAGCTTTAGAAATACTAAAGGGAGATGAACCTGTCAGTTCAAACCTAGCATGGAAAGTTATAGTTGAAGGTTGGGGTGTGGAGAGGTAGAAGTGATCTCTAATCACAGTTCAATGTCACATTTCAGAACAAACACGAGGAAATCCTAGAAGAGCAGCTTTCCTTGGTTTTGGTGTGGACTATTCAACCCATTATACACACGAATGGATGTGGAAACAATCCTGGTGACCCTGGGGAACCCCCAACTTAGAAAGCCTGGTGCTCTAAGGGCCTAAGGGATTCTTTACAAGAGGAGGGGTTGAATCTGAACTGAGGGAAAGTTAAGCTTAACCTAACATCTGTTCTTTTTTTTTTTTGAGGAAGATTAGCCCTGAGCTAACTGCTGCCAATCTGTCTCCTTTTGCTGAGGAAGACTGGCCCTGAGCTAACATCCGTGCCCATCTTCCTCTACTTTATACGTGGGACGCCTACCACAGCATGGCTTGCCCATCGGTGCCATGTCCGCACCCGGGATCTGAACTGGTGCACCCCGGGCTGCTGAAACAGAACGTGCGAACTTAACCGCTGCGCCACCGGGCTGGCCCCTGTTCTTTTGGCCCTTTTCCAAGTGCATTAGTAAGTCTGAGAGAATCCTAACCAAGGCTGGATGTATATACAAGAAACAGACACTGACAGTAACCTCTTGAAGCAAATCTCTTTTGGTGTCTTGAAGGTTCTTGCCCAAAGAAAGACAGGGGTAACTCTAAGCACTAGGACTTTATAACTAGTAACCAACACAGAAAGGTGAGCATAGAATGGCAGCCAGCTGTGTCTTATTATGTAGAACTTAGTCCATATTTATAATCACCACTAAGACCTTTATTAGTCGGGGGAAAGGGATTAAAGAGCATCAGCTAAAACTGATCCTAGCCTACTTCTTCCTCCCCACTCCCTCCAACTAACATTCACCGAGTTCCTTTGAGAAGCAGATTTGCGATGAAGCTAGTGAAGCTTGAATGCCAGAGCCCCTCAGTTGCACAGGTCTCTTCCAAGCCTCCTTCTTTTCTTATTCTAAATGAATCGTCAACTTTACGCCTTGGGTTATTTTATATGCTCTTTCTTCGAAAGGGCTGCCCCAATTGTATAAGCTTCAGGCTCCCCTAAACCTGGATTTGCCCCAATTCCTACTATATGCCAAGCATTATTTGCATCTTCTTGACACTCTCCCCTGTATCTCTCAGTAAGAATCCACTTACAGGTGAGGCTATCCCAGTTTCCGAATCTGCTTCTGCAGCTGAATTAGTTTTCCTCTACTCCACACGGCTTGACCTTGGCCATCTCCCTCCCTTCCTTCTGATTTTGTTGCCAATAACAACATGCTTAAATCCTCCCAACCCTACCTGACACTCCCAGGCCTCTAAAGCCATTTTGATAACTAAGCTTCCTGACTAGCAGCCCAGAGAGTGGGGACTTCAAATTGCCACCTGAAGGGGTGGCACTCTGGTTGGAAGGGGATGGCTAAGGGATTTGTTTGGGGGCTATATTTGTTGCATACACACTGATTTTACTTGGATTATATTTTAAAGTGGCTTTTTCCTCCCTCCCAAGTTTTCCCTTGGCATGTCCATCAAGCTTATACTTTAACTTTCAGTGGGACCTGCGTGATCTTGAGAGCAGTTCCTTACTGGCAAATCCCCACTCAGAAAATCTTCATGACATGGGATTCACCTTTGAAACACAATTAATTTGTTAGCATTTCCTGGCTGCTCTCATTGGGAGGAAAGTTTTTTCGGTCAATCTGTAGCTACAGTTAGTGGTAGTTTAATAATAATGGAGAAAATAGAGAAACATAATAATGGAGAAAAAAATGGAGAACACAGAAAGAAAGCAGTGGCTGGAAATAATTGATAGCTGTCTTTGAGACACATTATACTATTGCTTTTACAACTGATCTTGTTAATTTTATTCAGTTAGATTAACATTAAAAACAACATACACCAACTGAAAGCTGAAGGATGTAGCCAAGACTTAGGATAAGAAACAGGAACAAAACAATTAGAGATTAAAATATTATCATCATAATTTACTAAGTAGAAGGTTTACAGAAGGGCAATTAGCTTCATCCTGTGTAGCAAGACTTATTCTGGAAAGGCATATGCAATTCTTAAATAAATATGATAATTCACATACATATTTTATATTATTATTTATCTATAGATTGATCAATCAGAAGACCCAGGTCATGAAACAAGTATCGCGCCCCTTCCTCCCTACGGCAGGCTCAGAAAAACCATGATGTTACTACAACAGGTTAAAGTGTTTGGCAATTTTTAGTAACTATCCATTTTAATGGTTCTCTGCTTCTTGCTATTCTTGCTCTAGACAAAAGGTTGGACTGAGGATATTTGAGAGTTTTCTAATTTTGTGTATAAATATGACTAAAATAAATTAAGGCTCAGCCTTACCTTAAAGGAAATAATTTTGTTCTTACAGGAGAGAGTAGACGTTTTCTCACACTTCACAGAGATGGTTACCGCTAGACCTCTAGTGAGGCTATCTTTATACATATATATGATAAATACGGTCTGGGGTGCGTTGTCTGAAATAAGCATTAATAAATGAGAACTCTAGTTAGAAGAATTTTTGCAAATCAATATTTATGGAAATTAGCCAAAGGACAATCCTTAATAGATCCATTACCAACCCCGTACTCTGAGATTCAGCCAGTTAGCAGAAGGAGACTATGCACAGCTACTCATACATTCTTTAAAACACATTCGAATATGTATCACAACACAAATGCAGCAACTTTTTGAGTGTCTTAGAGATATTCCAAATTCTAAAAGATTGTCTTTAACTTTTAAATGCTAAATAGAATATTAAAAATCTGTTAAGGTAAAAGTTCAGTATTTTTCAAGAGCACACATTCACTGCTTCAACTCTGCCTAAACTCTAATGTTTAGAATTCATACCTTGGAAGGCACAGTAAACATTCATTTTCTAAGGTACTCTAAATTTCTGGTAGAAGACAGACTTATTTGAAATGTTAGTGTGTTTATTTTTAATTTTGAGTTTTGAAAATGCTATCAGCAAATTTCAGCTATAACCAGCAGGTATTAAGGAGCCAACTCTATAGACATCTTACATGGTTAATGCAATTACAGTGAAGGAAGTGGTGATCCAAATGTAGGCTCAGAGTAGTGTGACCTCTAGCAATATCTTTATTGTATCAATTTTTTGCCCCACCTGAAAAATATGAGTGCCCTATAAAGTTTCTTGTAAGTGAAATTATTACTACTCCTATGACTTCATCTAAGGACTAGGTCTATCATAGAAAAATACAGGCAGTAAAACAGAATGAGAAGTAGCTTGTCATTTCTACATTTGCAAATATATATAAAAAAATACCTGTACAATCAGAATCAGGCATATCCTCAAACACAGGTTGATTTCCCTGGTTAATGAAGAGAACTTGGTCGTTCAAATTTCGTATGATTGAGAGTTTAGGTTCAAGCCTGCCAAAGTAATCTGATTCCAGGTTTTCTACAATGCACAATAAATCTCATTAAAAAAATAAGTTTTTTTTCTAAATTTACAAATAGGCATACTATACATTTCAGTTTTCAATAGCTATTAATCACAATTTTCTGTTACAGAAGCAGCTAAGATAAAGTTGCGTGGTGTTTTTTAACTCACTTTCAAGGGTATGTTTATTATCACTCAGAACAACTCTACCTCTGAAATCTTAAATTCAAATATCCTACTTTCTGACCAAAATCTCCCATCTTTTTAGTTTTTTAATACTTTTCCTCCACTTCGTTGAGTCCTCCTGACTCTTGCATTTTCTATCTAACCTCTTTCTGTCTTCCCTTCCTTCTCTATGCAGCCCGGACCTCATGTTCACCATTTTATGTACCCTTTTGCCAGCACCTTAAATCCCGAACTCATTTGTCTTTCTACTACAAAACTCCAAACCTGACTGCTGAGTGCTGCTAGTAAACAATTACACAAATGTGTAAATTGGTGCCATTACAGACACATCACTTGTCAATTCTTCTTCTCTTTTACAGTCCGTCACCCTCTCCCATAGTCCGGAGCTGCAACTTTAACCCTTCTTCACTCTTATCTCTACATCATCACCTCTGCTTTCACTTTCAGCAAATGATTTCCTGCTACTCCACTTAGAGACTTAACTGCAGCACCACCAGTTACTTCTACCTCTCTTGTCCTAAAGGAAAATGTGGAAAGGTGCCCCTTCTGGTATCTAAGGCTAATCCTATCTGTGCTCTACAAGAACTTTCTATTGAAACCTCGATTTATCAATCATTCCCTCTCTTCTATCAACCCAGCAATTCTACTTCCAGGATTTTAACCTAAAGAAACAACCAGACAAACATGTAAATATTTCTTTACAAGCATGTTTAGGGGAGCACTATTAATAACAACAAATTGGAAACAATTTAAATGTTCATTAATTGGGGGTTGATCAAATAAATTTTGATATGCCTTTACTATGGAATATCGTGAATTTAATATAATTGTAATTATTCACTGCCTTGGAAAGATGTCCATGTGTATTAAATTAGAAAAAGAAGCCTAGGTGCAGTATAATATATATATTGAAAGAAGTACAGAACTACAACATCAAAATCATGGTAATGATTATTTCTGGGTTATTTCACGTCTTTATTTTTCTTCTATAAGAAGAATAAATATTCTTATATAAGAAAGAATATTCTTATATTCTACATGTTTCTATGTTACATCCTATATAAGAATATTCTATATATCTATATTCTTCTATAAGAAAGAATATTTTTCTTCTATAAGAATCTTCTATAAGATGTTCTTATCTTCATTGCCTGAATTATTTATAATAAACACATTATTTTTATAATCAGAAAAACATAAAGCTCTTTTCATTTTGAGATTTAAAAATCCTCCACCAACCATATCCTACTCTGTAGCTAGCCTTGTTTCTCTCCTCCTTTTAACAGCCAAGCTTCTGGCAGGAACTGTCTGTATCATCTCCGTACTTTCCATTCACTCTTCTACTCGTTGCAGTCTGCCTCCATTTTGCCATCAAACTGCTTTCACTGAGATCACCACACTCCCTGTTGCTAAATATAATAGGTGCTTTCCAGTTTTTGATTTTCAAGGCTGCAAAATTCAACACAGTGCCTATTACCTCCATCTTAAGATGCTCTCCTGGGATTTTGTGGCATTCTCTTGGTTTTTCTTCTTCCTCTTTGGTTACCCTGCTCTGTTCTTAATAAAGAACTGCATCCTTTATTTATTTATTTATGTTTACTGCATCCTTTAAATGAAAGTATTTCTCAGAGTTTAGTCCTTAGCTTTTACTTTTTCATGCTACACATTTCCTGATTTGTCCTTTTATTCCTACAGCTTCAGATGCCAGTTCTATGCATAAGCCTCCTACCTCTATATCTCCAGCCCAAACTTTCACCCTGAGCTCAGAATCATTATGTCTAAGAGTCTCCTGGACATCTCCACTAGGATGTCCCACAGACAAGATCCAAAACTAAATTCATCATCTGTAGTCCTCTTTGCCCTGCATATCTCTTTACCCTGCTCTTCTTCTTGTGTTTCCTATTTCACTGAATGGTACAAATTGCGTAGGTGAAAAAAAAACAGGCAGCATCTTTTCTATCTTTCTCTCCATCCCCTTCCAAATCCAACCCCAAACCATGTCCTGTTCATTCTTCCAAATATTTCTAAATACTTCATTGACACCCCATTGTGCCTACCTCAATTCATGTCACCATGATTTCTTATAGGGACTACAATAATAGCCTCTTAATTGGCATCCCCCTTTTTTTGTCCCCATGTCAATTATTTACACTCAAGCCAGAAAGAATTAAAGTTCGATTTTAATTAAAGTGAAAATTCAGAGATATGATCATGTTATCTCTGAATTTTAATGAGGCACACGGCCACTCAGAATAAAGATTATATTTTCCAGATTTCCTTTCAGTTGGTGTGGCCATATGACTAAATTCTAGTCAATGGACTATGAGTGGAACTGATGTATACAACTTCCAAGTAGAGTCTTTAAAAGGAACGGGCCTGGCTTCCTCTTATTTTGAACTCTTTCTTGCTACAGGGGCTGTGGACCCAAGAAATGTGATGATGGTTTTCAAGTACAGTATGTGAGTGAATTCAGTAAGTATGGGATGATGGAATAGCAAGAGAGAAGAAACTTGAGATCCTAGCATCATCAGGCTGCATCTAGCTGTACTAATCATGAACTACCTACTTGGACTCGTTTTTGAGAAAAATATTTTCTATCTTATTCAGTTACTACATTTTTGGATCTCTTTGTTACAGCAAACTAATCTGTATCCTAGATCATATATATTTTGCTTAATAAATCCCCATAACCCCAAAGATAAGGTCCAAACTCCATATTTTGGAATAAGAGAAACTTCATGATCTGCACCCTATTTATCATTCTTCTCTCACCATTCTTCTACTCCCACTCTACTCTCATTCTGAATCATTATTAATTCCTCCTACATGCTATGCTTTCTTTCATAACTTGGCCTTTGCACATGGTCTTCTCTCTGCCCAGAACACCTTCTCTTAGCTAACTCCTATTCATTCTTCAAATCTGTCCCTCCTGCAAAATGCCCTCCCAGAATCTACTGGACTGAATTGGGTGCTCCTTCTATGCTCCCATAGTATCCTGTGCCTTTGTAACACTTAACATACCATATTCCAATTGCCTTCCTTATGTGCTTGCTTCTCCCTATAGGAATTGTGTTTTGCTCACCATTATATCCTAGTGCCTAACACAGTGCCTGAGATACAGATCTCAATATTTATTGAATTAAATCAATGCAGAGAAGGGCAATCTTTAAAAAACATGAGTTATATCTCAATCATATCTCAATAAAGTGGGGGGGGGCGGGGAAGAAACATGAAGGAATAGTATTTTTAAAAAGTTGCTGTTTTCTATTTCTAGTCCAGTAAGGATTACCTTACGAATGGGGAAAGTGCTATTTTTAAGGAAAAGTATGAGAAACTAATGACTTTAATAATCTAGGGGTCTGTTAGAGGACCACAGGCTGATGCTCCCTGAATGCCGTAAGAACAAAGGCTGGGTGCATCCACTTCTTAAGAAGACAATGACTCAACCCCATAGTTCTATTTGCTCTACCCTTCCCCATCTCCTCTACTTTCAGAATTCTCTGCCCACTGGTAGCCTCCTAAACTTATTCCCAAAGCACTTCTGAAACAGAGGGTTGAAGAAGGAAGAGTTCTTGATTTTGGACAGTTCTCATGCTTCAATCCGTTTTTCCTATGTACTCCAGATAGTCCATGACTTCCTGCTAATCTCAGGATCTATGTAACGGGCAAGGTCTATTTTGTAGATTCTAAGAGGTAGAGAATTTCCTAAGGTGTAGAGAAACATATTGTTTAGAGGTTCTTCTTTGTATCCCTTATGATCATGTTTATTTCAAAGCTGTGCTATTGAGTCCACATTCCTTTGAGGGAAGATTAGCTTCTCAAATAGATTAGTACCAGTTTCTCTCTGCTGTGAACGGTGACATGGATGTGTCTGTGAGATGCTTACTCAAGTAATTTTTGCAAAGAAAGAGAAATAAATGTATACTTTACCATCGTTTTCAGCTAAAGGGGAAAAAAGATAAACAAAATATGTTAAATTCTATATTTCAATTCAGACTCTCCCCTCACTCTACCCTTTTATTACTCTTCTCTACAACTCCCTATTATTTAACCCCATACTTACCAGTGATGCCCTTTGTTGACCTCCAACAGAAATATTATATCCTCATCCAAAAGGCCCCATAAAATGAAGCTCATTAGACTTAGTGTGTTCTCATGTAAGTTAGATATAAAAACTTAAATTCAGGGTTTATAAATTTAAATTTGTAGCTAAAAAGAAATTTTATAAAGTGATAGATTTTACTCTTAAATTTATTGTTTCAGTGGAAAGTCACCTAATGACTTTCTCTGAAGTTTTCAAATGAAGCCAAACTGCCCATGGAAGATTAATCATAAGAATGTGTTTTCATTTGTCACATATTTACATAAAATGGTATAACTCATTCACAGAACCCTAGACTTAAGGTATCTCTTACATAATTTGCCACTTTAATTTCGGAAATTGTATTCCCTGAATGTACCCAATTTTGTGGGATTTTCATGACATACACCTGCAGCCACGTTGTGAGTGGGCTACTGCTAACTAAAGTGCCAGGACATGTGGTGGGATAAGGTGCTGGGACCTTGGACATATTATAGTTAATTAGAAGCTATTTTTTTTCCCCAGAAAAGAGTGTCATTAGTATTACAATGGAATTTGGTGACAAAAAGGAGTCACTTAATAGTTTGCCCCATACCCCTTCTAGTTCAATATATTTATCTGAACCCTGTATTTGGCCTATGGCTTCAGACTTACCTACAAAGTAAAGTGTGTTGTCAATAAATTTCATTTCCACCAAGCTAATGCAATTGTCTTCTACTGGTCCAGCGGCCATCTTTATTCCTACTGAAAGCAAAGAGTCATCTGTTAAAAGGTAGTGATTGTTCCTTTTACACAAAAGGGATCCTTTACTTCTTACTGCTATATATTCTCTCCAAACTCAGAAGACAGTGAATCACTCAGTATGCTGATGAATGCTGGACATTTAATAAGTGCTGAAAAGTCTTCAGTTTGTGAATACACATGTTCAAATGTTCTCTTACAAACCATCAGATACTTGGAATCTAGAAAGGATTTTCTAATTAAACAATGTTACAAAGGGTGGATAAGTGGTCCACTATTAAACTAAATTATCATCCTAGTATTTTGGGGGAAATATAAATATATTATCAATATAAATATAGGATGCCAGAAACACACCTAATCCTGTCATTTAACTAGGGACTGGTTCTTTCTGTTTTACAACCAGTGGCTTCCTATGCATGAGAGATTGAAGGTTTGTGACTTCATTGTCAAAGTGCTAAAGGTGAGGTGATGATAAAAATGGTGTTTCCGCTTGCGAGTGGGGGCAGGGTGGGAGGGGACCGAAGGGCTTTGGAATCTGATGGCCCTCTTCCTCCCTGAGCAGCAGCAGCTTTTGCTCTGGAGTCTGGATTATACTATGCCTTTTACACAAGTAATACATAAATACAATCTTTCTGTAAAAAAAAACCCACAGGATTTGAAAATGTTAAAAATTCTTCGTTTTAGGGGCTGGCCCCGTGGCCGAGCGGTTAAGTTCGCGCGCTCCGCTGCAGGCGGCCCAGTGTTTCGTTGGTTCGAATCCTGGGCGCGGACATGGCACTGCTCATCAAACCACGCTGAGGCAGCGTCCCACATGCCACAACTAGAAGGACCCAAAACGAAGAATATACAACTATGTACCGGGGGGCTTTGGGGAGAAAGAGGAAAAAAATAAAATCTTAAAAAAAAAAAAAAAATTCTTCGTTTTACTCTTCTCCCCTGCTCCACCCCACCCCACCCCACCCCAATATGATGTGTATCCTTCCCCACCTTTTTTTTTTCTTTTGGCACCTGAGCTAACAACTGTTGCCAATCTCTTTTTTTTCCTGCTTTTTCCCCCCAAATCCCCCCAGCACATGCTTGTGTATTTTTAGTTGAGGGTCCTTCTAGTTGTGGCATGTGGGACGCCACCCCAACGTGGCCTGATGAGCAGTGCCATGTCCACACCCAGGATCCGAATTGGCAAAACCCTGGGCCCCCGAAACGGAGGCTCGAGCTTAACCACTGGGCCACGGGGCCGGCCCAGACCTTTGACTATGGAGCAGGGGTTATAAATCTGGGAAGTTTGTGAATTTGGATGGGAAAAATTTGCACAGTTATTTTCACCAACTTCTAACCGAAATTTAGCAGTTCCTTCCATGGTGTAGGAAACAAACCACAGTATCATCAGAAGCACCTATCACTGTCACTAATAGAAATATGTATTTCCTATTGTGTTATAATTGTTGAGGAGATTTTGAAATATGGTTTAAACTTACTACTACTTTGAAATATATGGAAGTTATTAGTCCCACCAGTGGATCTTACTTAATGTGTTAATAAAGAAGCACATATATACTATATCAAACTATGTTAAAAAATTTTTTTTTACACCCCATCAACTTTGCAATTTGCAAAGAAAATACTTGCAAATCATATATCCGGTAAGGGGTTACTCTCCATAATATATAAAGATCTCACACAACAGGTTCAGTTCCTTATACACATGCAAATGAGGATAGTTAAAAAATTTATGTGAATATATTATATATATAATATATATATAAATTGGTAAAATAATGGCTAGGGTGGTCTTCTCTACAAACTTTAATACTATGTAATACACATATATTTTGAAAGTTATTCACCTGAAAAGTACCAAGTAGTATGTGCAGGAACTGGATGAAATTACTAGTGTTTAAGACAGTGAACATTTAGTTAGTTGATGAGTGAATGGATTTAGAGAAGCACATATTTACCTTAAGAAATTCTACTACTACACAATATTTGAATTCATTCATCAATTAATTCTTGAGCACCCACTATGTATCAGGCATGGTGCTAGAAAGCTGACAAAACACACGATTGAGACTTAGTTCCTACCCTCCAATTACTCAAGAATCTAGTGGCAGAGACAAATACATAAACAATTACAAAATAGTAAAATGAATGTTGTAAGAGCTGGATTTACAGGAGATCCTCTCTCTCTGCCTGGTGGTGTGGAAGAAGGCTTTTTAGAGGAAATGATGATTGAGGAAGAGATGCTGCCTTGAAAGACAGGCAGGCATTTTCAAGGCCCAGAGAAGAGCATTCCACAAAGAGGGAGTAATGGGAGCAAAAGCCAGGAAGCAGGGAAGCTGAGAGAACATGGCTTGTTTGGAGCGTCATCATTTTTACTGTAATTAATGCCAATGCAGTTACGTTTAACAGGAAGAATGCGTTTCTGAAGATCTCACATAGTTCACAATTAACAGTTCCCTGGGAATAAATATAAAAGTATGTGAGGAAATATCCTTGGGTACATAAATCTACAACGACCAAAGTGTATTCTTTATTTCTTTCTGTTTTTCAACTTTCTCAGCATTATTACTAATGTTTTGCAGAGGGCTCTCTCCACAAGGCCTATCGTGGTGACACTTGGCCTTTTTATTATTGTTTTCTTGCATCTAACTTTTCCCCAACTTATTTATTTTAAGGTACAAATAATACAGCACAAACAGTAATAATACCTCTTAGTACTTTGATAACATTGTTATCAGATAAAAAAATACTTTAAATTATAATAGTGTGTGTTAAAAAAAATAACAGCACAACAATAACCTGTATGTCTCAAGAACTTCTGAGATATTTAAAGAATAGCCTAGCTTACATGATACTGACACAGAAGCAGATAATTCTACTAGGTATGAGACACTTCCATGTGGCAAGAGTTAATAGTTCACAACTCACTTGGCCTACCAGTTTTCAAATTGTCCTTCTAGATAAACTATTTAATTTGGAGGAGCTCACATTTCCATTTTGCCTATAGAGTGAGACTATTATTTTTACATTATATTACATTCTGTTTGATTCTGCCTAACTTAATTTACATAAAATGTAACTTGCAATGTAGTTCAGTTTGACACAAGCTTGTAAAGGAAAGTCAGATTCAAAGGCCTATTTAAGTAGGTTAAAGAGTTTGAATTTTTTTTTTTTTGCTGAGAAAGATTAGCCCTAAGCTAACATCACCCACCAATCCTCCTCTTTTTTTGCATGAGGAAGATTAGCCACGGGCTAAAATCTGTGCCAATCTTTCTCTATTTTTTGTATGTGGGTCACTGCCACAGCATGGCTGGTGAGTGGTGTAAGTCCATGCCCGGGACCTGAACCTGTGAACCTGGGCCACTGAAGTGAAGCATGCTGAAACCGACCACTACGTCATAGGGCTGGCCCTGAATTTTTTTCTGAAAAAATATTGACTTTTAAGAAGGAGAAAGATATGGTCAAATGTATGTTTTAAAAAGCTCACTCTGGCAGCAGTGTAGAGAAGGGATTTGATGGGGCAAGACTGGACACAGGCCAGAAAAGAACCTTAGAAGCAATTTTAACAGTTAAGGCAAGAGTTGATGAAGCTATAAACCAAGGTAGTGGCTGTGCGATGAAAGAGGGAGAGGATGGATTCAGAGAGATTAAACAGAACTTTTTAGCTGATTAGTTGTGGGTCAAACAGAAGAACAAGGAACTGCCGATGACTTCAAATTTCTGGCTACAGCAATTTGTTGAGTGATTACCTCATTAACTAAGAAAAAAGAGAATGAAAGACACGCTTGAGTGGAAAATAATTAGTTCAGTTTTGCAAATCTAGGAGTGAAGAGCCACAGAAGTCAAGGGAGAAAGGAGCTTCCAGAGGAGCTGCTCGAAATCAGACGCGTCAGAGCCCATAATTTAGATACAGGCTTAAACCTGTTCAACGAAATCGACAACTAGGAAGTGTGGAATCAGCAGAACAGTTTGGGAAAAGTGTAGCAGAAGGCAAGTTAACAAACATCTAGGACAGAATGGGATAGGAAAAAAGAAAAGTCAGTGAACACAAACTATTCTTTTAGGAAGTGAAGAGAGAGGGCAGTAGTTCCTGGGGGCTATATAACTTTCAAATTTCAATTTCTGGCTCCAGACCCACAGTTTTGACTGTAAGGTATCCTAATGAATTATTTTCCAAAACACGTCCAAATAATCTGTCCAAAACTGAGACCTGGGGCTGGTCCAGTGGCGCAGTGGTTAAGTGCGCACGTTCGGCTTTGGCGGCCCTGGGTTCGCAGGTTCGGATCCCCAGTGCGGACACGGCACCACTTGGCACGCCATGGTGTGGTAGGCATCCCACATACAAAGTAGAGGAAGATGGGCACAGATGTTAGCTCAGGACCAGTCTTCCTCAGCAAAAAGAGGAGGATTGACGGCAGTTGTTAGGTCAGGGCTGATCTTCCTCAATTAAAAAAAAAAACAGAACTGAGACCTGGGAGTCCTTCTTGACTCCTTTAACCTTTCCTGTCTCATAAATACTGTAGATTATAACTCAGAAATTTCTCTAGAATTTGGTATCTCCTCTCCATTTCCACCAGCCCTGTTTTAAATCAAGCCCTTACCACTTCCAGTATCTTGTATTTTAATATTCCTTTACTTGTTTTTCTTGCTTCCAGACTCTTCCTCCACTCTGTACTGTTGCCAAAGTTATTTCCACTGCCAGGCTGGAACTTCTGCTTTTTTTGCCTGCCGAGCCCTTCTTCATCCTTCTCTTTAAGTCCTAGCTCAAACATCTCTAGGAAAACTTTCTTGTCTTCTCCATTCCTAGATAATCATTCTCTTATCAGTGCCCATCCCACCCCTGCCTTCACGCTTCTGAAATAGCTCTTACTACTCTGAATTAAGATTTGGTAAATTACAAATAGGTCTGTCCAGCTTCAATCTGAGTTTCTTTAAGAAAATGTATTGTCCTTTTTTTTGAATCTTCAACACCTGGAAAGAGCTTATACATAGCAGGAGCTCAATAAATATTAAATAAATAAATGTTTCTATGATAAACGCTGTCGCCACAACAACAGTGAATAAAGGGACTGGTAGAATTTTTTTCTCTTAAAACTTTTACTCCATCTGAAAGCCGATGAGAAAGAGAAAGAAAATGAGGGAAGTCTGAAAAGAGATTTTAAAAAATAGAATAATTTCTCTAATATTCTTCTTCTTCTTTTTTTCCCCTATTAGTTTATTTTTTATTCCATGTGAGTGTTTATTTTGAATTCTTTCTTACTGCTCTTTTTATTAGATTTCAAAACATCTATGATTACAAGTGTTCTGCCTCCCTTCCTCTGTTCCCCCCAGTTTTCCTCTTTTCCTTTCTCATCTGTGTTCCTTTGCTTTCTTAACTCTAATCTATGAAAATTATAGTTCCCATTGGATAAAAATGCTTTGAATATTTCATCTAAGATTATCAGATTATTGACTTCTTTTTAAACGAGTTATATACCACCTTAGAAAGATCCTGCCAGGAGCATGCAGTGACAACTGGTTCTTTGAAACAAAAAAGAATTTTAGTTATACAAGCCTTGGAAACTAGCCAGAGGCTAGTGGACGGTAGAGAGTCAGGATGTAAATTAGGCCACATGCGTTCCAATCTTGTCTAGGGCAACTCATTTAATTCTGAGGGTCTCATTTTCCACAGTTGGACAAGGAGGGTGTTGAATGCTCAGTCTTTAAGGTCTTTTCCAGCTTCGGCATTCTGTAATGCTAGATTCTAGTCAAGGCTGCAAGCAGAGAACCATTTATATGTGGGAAATGCCCTAGTAACCACTTCTTCATAATTCTAAAACAACAATACTGACTGAATATTTCTTGTATAGTCAGCATTAAGCCACTAGGAATTTAAAAACACACTATAGGGGCTGGCCCGGTGGCACAGTGGTTAAGTGCGCACATTCTGCTTCGGTGGCCCAGGGTTCACCAGTTCGGATCCCGGGTGCGGACATGACATCACACTTGGCAAGCCATGCTGTGGCAGGTGTCCCAGATATAAAGTAAAGGAAGATGGGCACAGACGTTAGTCAGAGCCAGTCTTCCTCAGCAAAAAGAGGAGGATTGGCAGTAGTTAGCTCAGGGTTAATCTTCCTTAAAAAAAAAAAAAAGTACTATTAGATTATAAGTAAAAATGCCTTGAACTTGAAAAGCAACTATGATTATGTTTATCCTTGCTGTGGAATTTCAGTTCTGTATAATAGGTATGGGATGAAATGAGGAAGCACGTTACCTAACTAATTCCCTAAAATCAGGTAGGTAGTCATCTTGACAGCAACAAGATCAAAACCTAACTTTTCAATTCCATTAATCATTTGGTCCTTGAAAATTTTGCCATCTTATGAAGGTATGTACATGGGTATGGTGGAGTTGGGGGAGGAAGAATACTTAGGAAAAAATTTAAGTAAATAGTTAATGACAAAAAGTATATATAATCAACTGCTAAATACAGACTCAGAGCAAAAAGCCAAAATGGAATTGATGTAGTTGGAATGGGCTTGTGTGAAAAGGAGAATTGAATTTAATCTTAAAGAATGCTTAAGATTTGAATAGATGGAGAAGGGCATGGATGAGCATTTCTGTGATAATTAAAACAGTGCTGTGGTGGGGAGTGGACTGAATGGAGCCATTTTTTGACTGTAGTGGAACAATCCTGCTTTCCTGCAGTGAACACAAGGTGGGGAGGGGGGTTAGATTATGGAGGGTTCTGGAATTCATGTAAAATAATCTCACAGGCAATAGGAAAAGCAGGTTACTGAGTTGGCAAGTGCATTATGAAAATGATCAGAACAGGCTACGAAACTACTGTAGAAATTCACGTAAGAATTTATAACATTCATGTGGCTTCTGTATGAACAAGCCAGATTAAAAAAGATATTTTGAAAGAAGATTTAATAGAACTTGAAATAGCTGGATATAGGCAAAAAGAAAAGAGGCATTTTAGGGGGGGGTCCTAATTTTTTATTCATACTTCAAAATAGAGATATCTATTCAGCCCTTTCCTTATTGTGAAATAAAATTCTCCTGGGGAATGCTATAATATTGTCCAACTGTAGCCCAGCCTAAGGGTGCTGATGCAGATTCCATTAAGATCATCAACCTGTGCCAAATATTTGGTTTGCTTTTAAAATAACTTAGTCTCCCTTTAAAGGGAATTAAGACTCCGTTTAAAGAGAAATTCATCATTCTAAAGCAGTGATTCGCAGGGGGCTCACAGGGTCAAAGTGATTTTCATAATAATTCTAAGATGCAATTTGTCTTTTTCTTTCTTTTTTTTTTTTTTTAGGAAAATTAGCCTTGAGCTAACTTCTGCCAATCCTCCCCTTTTTTCTGAGGAAGCCTGGCCTTGAGCTAACATCTATGCCCATCTTCCTCTATTTTACACGTGGGACGCCTACCACAGCATGGCGTGCCAAGCGGTGCCATGCCTGCACCCGGGATCCCAACCCACGAACCCGGGCCCCCAGAGTGGAATGTGAGCACTTAACTGCTGCACCACTGGGCCGGCCCTTAATTTGTCTCTTTCATTCTCTCACGAGTGTACAGTAGTTTACTAGATGCTACATTCTGTGTGATGCGGCATAGACCGAATGCAGAAGCGGAAAAGAACACAGCTGCCTTCTATTAAGCCAGGCATTAAAGAGATTTGTAAAAATGAAAACAACATCACTCATCACAGTAGATTACTTTGGAATATATAGTGATCTATAAATACGAATACTGTTTATGCTAACGTGATGCGCTTATTGCTATTTCAAAATAAATTCACAGGTCACTATTTTTTAAATTCTCAGTTTTAACTTCTAATACAGTAAATGACAGTAAATAACCTAGGGAAACATCAATTCTTTGGGGTCCTCAATAATTTTTAGGAGTGTAAAGAGGTCATGAGACCTAAAAGTTTGAGAATCTCCTCTAAAGTGATACTCTCCAACGTTGGCTAAAAGAGAGAAAAAGTTTCTCCTCTGACTTTGCTATGTCACTGACGTTGTTACCGCCTGCCCATCACAGTGATGTCAAAGGACTTAAATTCCTTTCAATCGCTTTTCTAAGTTATCTACCTCTAATCGCCATGCCAGGTTTCCAAATAAAGAAGAATGAATGGTATTTCTTACCTGTGCTCAGTAGTTTCCTACGAGAGGAAGCGATCTGGAACGTACGAAGTTCCTTTCTTTTCCTGAGGCTGTGTAAACGGTGGAAGGCGGCGGCCCCTTCAGCAGCCACAGCAAGCAGCCAGGAACGCAGAAAGCATCGGAAAACGGAACTCCTCACTGCTCGTCCAGATTCAACAGCTGTCCTGGGAGCAGTGAGGGGCCCAGGCGCTTGGGAGAAAGAGGAAGAGGGCGGAGGGAGGAGACTGTTCTGGCACGCCTTGGACCGCCTTCAAACCTGGGCTCTCTCCTGCGGTGACAGAACTTGAAACAAAGTGTCAGAGAATATGGGTATTTCTTTTAATGTAAAATCATTATTTCAACAGCATCATTTCTTCTGTAAAAGTTGGAGCCCCGGCCCTTCCAAAGCTTGTACCTTTTTCAGAAGTACATCCAAGCACTTTGAAAAAAGCACTTGCTTGGTCAGTTAGAAGCATCTTTTCTCACATTAATCTCTATTTTGAGACTTTCTACTCACACTTCGGCATAAAACTTTTTTCTCATTTAACAGAGCTGAATAATCAGCCCCATTAGAATAAGTCCTATAATGTAATCATAGCACCTAAAACATAACTTTTAAAAAGCAGAGTCAAAGCCTTGAAAATAATTAGCAGAGACAAAGTTTCTTAGACAATTTTCTCTTGAACACGTGCTAATTGTATTATCTTGCTAGCAAAGGAATTAACAAGGTGACTTTTTATTTTTGCTTTTATAGCTACTACAGAGACTGTATGAAAACAGAGGAGTTCTAGAGTAAGGAAACAAACTGCTTACATAAATAGCTAGTTGGGTTTTTTGGTTTTATTTTTAACAAGATAGGGTTTTCATTTTCTAAGGTCATAAAAACATCATTCCACAGCAGTGATTACAAAGGAAGTCTGCAGCAGTATGGTTGGAGCTGCTTGGTGCGGTGACTATCAGAAGAAAAAAATAGCACATTTAAGAAGTTTATGATAAGAATACACACGGTTGAAACAGACATAAGAAGTTTTCGTCCTCCACCTGTAGCGTCCAACTGGGCCAGTTAACACGAAAGCATGAAGTGGGGTCAAACAGGGATCAGAAGCAGAGCATCAAACAATGTTTAAAATTAAACATTAATTTTAAATGGCCCATTGCCAATTGTTTCACTCCAGGTGTAAAGACATAGAATGTATAACTTACCCATTTCTTAGTTTTGGGACAAACATCTTTTTCTGTGAGATAGAGCAACCCATTTGGGTCTCCAAGTCCTGCCTACACCACAGGATTTTTTTTTTTTAAAGATCTTATTTTTCCTTTTTCTCCCTAAAGCCCCCCAGTACATAGTTGTATATTTTTAGTTGTGGGTCCTTCTAGTTGTGGCACCCAGGACGCTGCCTCAGCATGGCCTGATGAGCGGGGCCATGTCTGCTCCCAGGATGCGAACCAGTGAAACCCTGGGCCACCAAACCACTTGGCCGAGCCAGCCCCATCCATAGAGATTTTTGCGAAGATTACATGGGATGGTGACAGCCCTTTGAATTTTTAAAGCACTAGATAACCATAACCCTCCACACCCTCTCACTTTCTCTTATTTAGCTTATAAACAGAAGATAAGACTTTAAAAATAAAATAAAATGACCATGGTTTCTCTTAATTTGATGTTAACAGTTATTTATTAGATGAAATCATTTTCCCTGGAAATATTTTAAGAACTACATGACTGTTTAGCTGTTATACAACGTGAAGGCTGGAAGAAGAATTAGATCAGTATTTCCCAGACTTTTGGATTTAACAGACCATTAAGAATAATAACAAAAATAATGATTAGAATGAAGAGGAGAGAGACACTGAGGGGACAACTTTATATTTTACCAAATAAGGACATTAAAAATTTAAAAATCTTTAGATTTCTATTGCAGGAAAGGACACTTTAACACCAAAAAATTAGAAAGGACATAGTATAAAGGACAACCCTTTAAAGTAAATACATTGGGTTTATGAAAAACTCCTTCCTTTTTCCTTCATTTTACCACAGATAAGGAAAATTTCAACACAGATTGGCATCATCCTCGGACAGTAATTGGGATCCTTTAATGACTGCACCATAATCATCTGGCCTAGTTTTATTAAGTTAAACAGAGTACTTGTTTCCTAGGAACTTACTTAAAACAATCAGCTTCTTCACAAACGGCCAACAGATAAACACACACACACAAAACTTACAAGTCTTTATGACAACAAACATTTAAATAAACCAAAAAGGAAAAACATGTTAAATATAATTTGCTAAGGTGTAAGATCATGTACCTGGAATTTATGGGGGGTGTTAGTGACCTTTGCTTTATGAGGTGATATGCTTGCTTTCTTCTACATCTACTAACTAGGCTTTAGTTTAGAACGTCTATCTTTGAACCGGCAGGTCAAAGTCACCACATTAAAACACGCGAGGAGGCTGAGCTTCAAGGATGCGAGCCATGCGTGTTGCAAAGTATTTTTTGAGAGCTGCCAATTAAGTCCACTACACTTAGTGACACATCAAGTAGGAACTTTTCTAAAAGGGTGTGACTCCAGAAGTCTGCTTGCATCAAACAAAAAGAACTGAAGGAACGTAGTCTCTGGATCTAGAACTTTCGCTTGCAGGCCGCGGGAATGTCGGTAGAAACTCTTCCTTCAAACCAAGCACCTGGCATAGGACGGAACTTGTACTTGAAAAGTGGCGGTGGGTGTACTATTTTGCGTTCCTTTACTGAGATTCCAAGAGGCGGGGCCACACCCCTGCCTTGCTGTGGCGAGGCTTCCTTGTTCTTTCTTGAGAGACCTGCATCAGCTTTTTCCCTTCTTCCACAAACAGGCCGGGAGTCAGAGGAAGACTTTTTGTTTGACAGAGATTCTAAGGCGAGAGAAAGAGCGGAAGATACAAAGCTGCCTTTCCGCGGCAGCTGGACGCCCCACGCCAAGCTCCCAGAGGCCTCGCGCGGGGTCACGTGACTGGCGCGCTGACCGCTGGGAACGCCGTGCCTCGCGGCCGCCCGCACCATCTGCGCATTCGCACCCTGTGATCTCTCCATTTCCGCGCTGTCGCTGGCGAGGAAGGTCCAGGCGCTTGGTACCAGACCCATCTTGGGGTGGGCTGGAGGGATGAGCGCCCGTGAGGGTGTGAAATAAGGCAGCAAGAGGATAGAAGCTTCTTCTCGGGGTCTCTAGTGGGGAGGAAGGAGAGGGGGGCGGAAGTGAGAAAAAAGGTGAAATGGCCTCAGGGGCCCAGGTGGCCTTGAGAAGAAAGAGAAGTCTGGGAGAAAAAGTTGCATAAGGCAAAGGGGTACTTCTTGGTAATGACTAAGTTCCCGACGCCTGAGATTGCATAGCGGGGGGAAGTGGCTGTGAATCGTGTTTGTCACATGACGAGGCCCAGCCTCTTGACCAGGCCTGGATCCGGCTGAGGCCCTAAGCTGTGACAGGAAATTTATTTTTGTGGAAATAGGACTATGAGAGAGGAGATAAGAGATGTAAAAGGAAAAAACAGAAAGGGGAAGAGGGAAGAGAACGACTCTCGTGTTGGCTTCTCTGAAGCAGTTTTGAACTTCCCGAGGGAAAGTGAGCACTACTGTGCATTTTTCCACGTTTTTATCGTAGCGCTTAAGTGTGTATATTAGAAAGCTGACAGGAATGTAGAAGCGCTGTACAGAATTTACGAAACAAACATCTTTATTATTTGTGATTGCTATCTGACATATATGATTATTATGTATGACTAATCAGATTCATTACAATTAGCCAGGTCAGCATAGTTTCTCAAAAAACAAGCACAGTAACTTGAGTGTAGACAGGGCTCCTCATCTCTTAAGCTGTAGAGACTATATCATCCTAGGTTTCAGCATTTTGGCTTTAAGTTTAAACTTAATCTTTCAGACTCCTAGGGAAATTGGCTTCAGAATTTGTGGGAAAGTGATTTAAAAGTAAAGTTCGATGCTACAGGAAGGTAAGATAGGACAGTGGAAACGATCTCAGACTAGAAGAGATTTTGGTTCTAGTCTGGCTTGTTTTACTTGTTTGATCTTGGTCACCTATCTCTGCACCTGTTTTCACCTCTGTAAAAAATGAAATTGAATTAGATGAACTTTAAGATCTAGGTCAACATTAAGAATTTATGAAGGTAGAAGGATCTTAAATGAACCCTGAAACAAGGCGGAAGTGCCAAAGAAACTGCTAGTTTGGCTGACTGTATCTAGAGGGAGTACGTGAAAATCATGGGAGAAGTGGGTTGGCCCCAGGTGATGTAGGACTTTGGCCGCCATACCATGCAGTTTGAACTTATTCTGGAGCGATCAGTAGCCAAGGGAAGGTTTCTGAGTTTAAAGAATGCAATAGTCAGAGTTATGAAAGGTTAAGGGAATATGGGAATCAGAGTTTTGGAAAGATTGCCCAAACAGCAGTTGGCAGATGAAATAGGGAAGGGAGAAATTGAGTAGTTTAGGTAAGTGACAGAGAAGGAGAGCCTAAATTCACAGTGGCAGTAGGAATGGAAGGAGAAGGAAGGATTCAGGAGAGCTCTAGCATCGATTTTGTACTTAAATTTGGCATTGCTCTAAACTTTGCAGCTCTTGCCTCCGGAATATGATGGCAAGTCACCTTGTAAAACCTGATGCCAGAAATTGCAAGAGAACAAGAGAGTTGGAGGTAATCTGTATGCTCCCGGAGCCTTCTATTTTATTTTATATGCTTCTCAAATTTCTTCCATGTAACGAAGTTATATTGGTAAATGGAATTTAATGTTTTCATATTCCCAGAGCTGGGATTGTCCCAGCAGGAACTGTGTTGACTCCAGCTGTATTTTCACCAAGTGCAGGCCTTCAAGAAACTGTGGGGAGATTTCTTTGTGGTAATTTGTGATCTAGAGACAGAAGTGGGTTCACACCTTTATGATACATAGAGCTTTAAATAGTTATTTTGCTATAATAAGTAGAATACCTAGGTACTGTAGTTGCTGATATTTTTAAAGAGACCACTGTATCCTGCTCTCCTTCACTGCGACCCCCATCAATTGATCTGTTTGCATTTGGAACATTATTTATTTGCTCCCTTAAAGGTTATGTTATCTTGTAAAATTTTGCAACATTTGGCTATTGTTAAAATCAAAGTTTTGCTCTGGAAACATCTGCTGGTTCAAGAAACAGGAAACTTCTTTATCAGGGATTAATAACATATTCAAGGTCTAAGGTAAAACGAAAATAAAATTTAGTATGTTGAACAAGCTGCTTGTTGGGTCTGAAAGTTTCCTGAATGATAAAATTTCAAATGAGTATTTAGGACACAAGAGCATATAATTTCTAGCATACTTGCTTTTTTTCTGAAAGACATTTTATTTGCTTTTTTCTTTTTTGAGAGAATGTATATGTTCTAAAGATCTTGTTGACTGTTTACCTGTTTTTTTACTTTCTTCTAATAGTCTCAAATGCCAGATAGTCCACAACTTTCCTCTCTTGGAAAATCAGATTCCTCTTTCTCTGAAAGCTCTGGACTATTTTATAAAGATGAAGCCCTGGAGAAAGATTTGAATGGTGATGTATAAAATGCTTATATTTCTATACATTGATTTTCTGATACAGAAGGTTTCTTACAGTTTTTAACTTACCCAGTGATTTTTTTTTTGAACAGATATGAGCAAGGAAATTAATCTAATGTTGTCTACATATGCAAAGATCTTAAGGCAAGTACTTATAATTCTCTTTAGTCTTTCTCTTAGAAATACAGTCATGCATTGTTTAATGAGAAGAGTATGTTCTGAGAAATACATCATTAGGCGATTTTGTCATTGTGTGAACGTCCTAGAGTGCATTTACACAAACCTAGATGGTATGGTCTACTATACAGCTAGGCCTTATGGTACTAATCTTACGGGATCGCCATTGTATATGTGGTCCACTGTTCACTGAAACACTGTTATGCAGTGCATGACTGTAGAAGTTTTCTGCTGGAAGCTCCATAGTGGGAAGTTTAGTTCAGTTGCTGCAAAACCTGTCCAGTAATTATAATTTTGGAATTTTTTATTCTACCTCAGTTTCTTGTGATAGATTAGTTGGTTATTTTCAAAAGATAACCCCAAACTTCCCTATAACCATCCTTTGTTTTGCTACTACCAGAGCTAATGCTAGGCTGGATATATTTTGATCTCTAATATGATGATACAACATTTAAAATTTTGTGAAAAAACCTCTTTGAGACAAATACCATTTGGTAAAGCTAATGATAATGATAGAGTGATATTAAAGATAAAATAAATATTTATATTTATGAAGTACTTAACTATTTTCTATATACATTTGAAGGCTGAATTTAAATATTTAATTGGCCTGAGATTGTGTTTTATAAGGTATTTTTTTAAACTACTGGACAGTCACTGTATTTGAATAATGGTTTGTGTGGCTGTTAAAATAATGTATATAGTTTAATATTAGAATTATAATGTATAAGATACACATTTTGCTGTGTTAGGAGACTTGATAAAAATATTTGTGGGACTAATTTAACTTTTAGTGAAGAGTGTTTGTAAATTAACGAGGCTTTCTGATGTTCAAAGCCATTTAAATGAAATAGCTAACAAATTTGGAATAATAAAGAACATCACTATGGTAGTGTGTCTAGATGTTAAAACTATTTAGTTTAACTTACAATTTTTTCCCCATTAGTGAGAGAGCAGCAGTAGATGCATCTTATATTGACGAGATAGATGGACTCTTCAAAGAAGCCAATACTATTGAAAACTTTCTAATACAAAAAAGAGAGCTCCTTAGACAAAGGTTTACAATGATTGCAAACACACTGCACAGATAAAGTTGTGTACTTAAAATAAGCTGAGAATTTAAGCCCATTATTGTTGTAATGAGAGAATGACATTTATGCTCTGAAAACTCTCTAGTTGTTAAAGGAAAATGTGTACCTTAAACATAAGGGGAAACTCCTTGAATTTCTTTTCTAGAGTTAAAAGGGACTTTAATCTGGACATTAATATGAAGTATGTAGCTTTTCTTTTGAGGGTCAAATACTTGGCATATTTTATAAAAGTGTAAATTATTTAACTTATATATGAATTATTTTCTTTCTTTTTTTTCTTAAACCTCCTGGCCTTTCTTAAACTTCAAAAAGAGAACTCGGGTTAATTTGATAATGTTTAACAATATTGCACTTTTTCTTTTAGAATATTTTGTTTAAATAGATAGATAGCTTTGGAGATAGTTTTAAAATGTTTTTCATGGTCAATAGTATAAAAAAATTGAAACCCAAAAGTAATTTGTCCAATTTCTCAATATGTAATAAAATATAACTGTGCTATTGCTATTTAACGTTACCATTTGATTATTTTCACTATTATTGTACATGGCTAATAAAAATTCTTGGTTTAAAATTATTTTCTTGTGGTAAAAGTGGTAAAATAAAAACCAGAGATTACTAACCAGAACCTTGTATGAGTTGGCTTTTTTACAATCAACAATATTAATGGTGCAGTTAATGAATTATATTTAGAAGCTTTAGCAGCTGTGTGGTAGCGGATAAAGACTAGTAATCCAGAAGTGAAGAGATTGACTAAACAACAAGGTGACCTTGGTGGATCATCTCAATCCTAATATAATTCAGAAATTGAATTTGGACTAGAGGATCTCTAATACTCATCAAACTAAAAAAAATTCTCACTTCAATGAAAGTTATTGCTGTGCTTTTATTGCAAACCTTCAATATGTTATGTAATTAGATATAATAACTATATTAATCAGACTTAAAAAAATGACAGCACCCATTTTTCAATCATATAGATAATTCAGTCTATAATATGTATATTTTGCTGATATAAGCATAACAGGTTTGGACATATTTACAAACAGTGCCACAGGGAATTTGGTATTCCTCAGGTGGACAGCATGTTTGCCTTGCTGCCTTCTAAATGTTAAAATAAAATCTCATTTCATCAATTTATTATTTTAAGGCATATATACCATGTAACATAAATATTCATTCAAGAAAGGATTAAAAATAGTAAAGTAAAATAATATTACTAAAAATATTAATCATTCAGTGGAAAAAATTACTAGGTTTGTAGAGGGATATGCTCATGGCATGGGATAGTTTGGAGGTCAATGAAGTAACTATTAGAAATGGGATTTTTTAAATACTAAATACAACCAGAAGACTCTATTTGAGTTGATATGACATGTCACCTGGATTTTGAGTTAGTCTGTTATGTTATAGAGTTCTTTAATGTTCTGAATACAACGATGACTACTGGCCCATGATCATTAAAAAAATGTTCTTGAGTTGTTTTTTTCTGAGCGATTATTATCAATGTGAAAATGAGGCTAACAGATTGCTTCAGAGTGGGTTTCATAGTATACTTGTTATAGCTTGTTGGTGTCACCGTTGTTCAGCATCTGGTCCTTCCCTCTGCAGGTTTAGAGAATTGATTGGATCATTTCATTTGTCTGATTAAAATAGGGAACTGGTTTATAGTCACAATGTGTTTACTGGTCCGAACAGCTACCTCTGAGAGTAAAAGTTCCTCAGAGCCTAATTAAGGCTTATTTTTATCAAATTTTGATGTCTTTGGTACCATCCACATAAACAAGAATAATTATCTCACAACTGGAGGTAGACTATTGCAGGAATAACATTGCCCTTTAATTTATACATCTGATATCACTCTTTCATTTCAATGAAATTTCACAAGTTTATATTTTTCACTGATTACAAATCAAAATACATATCTAATATCTTTGTACATCATACTCTGCAAGACATTGTAGGGAATACAGAATAGTGTAAGATACTCTCTGTTCTCCCTTCTGATAGTTTTAACCATCCCTTTCTTGAAATATACTTACCTGTCTTTGCTAGGAAGACATGACGTGTAAGTGTTAGAAGTATCTCTGTGGCGTTGCTAGTAACTCCTCCTAGTGGGAGTTACTAGAAGGCCTTTGGCAAGGGGGTCAGAGAGGTAGATGTTGAAATAGGTTTTTGAAAAGGAAAGATGGAGGATATTTCAGGCAGGGAAAATTTTGTTCAAAGGCACAGAAGAACGAAACACTTGGTATGTTCAGCAGTCATTTTACTGGGCTGAGGATTCACACAGGGGTATAGCGTATCATCTAAACTAGTAGAAAGCAGGGACTGAATTTTGTTTCTTGATATTCTCAATTTGTAGCACAGTTATTTGATACATTTGTGCTCAAAAATGTTAAATTAATAAAATATTTGGTTAGAACTTTTTTAAGGGCATACCTTCACAGGGACTTATTCACATTAGATTGTCAGAAAATGTTTTGTAAATTAAATGAAAATAAAATAAAAGGATGGATGAAAGTACTAGAAAGGCAAAGAGACAAAGGATGAAATGTAGGTTGTGGCCATGTTGTAGAGTCCTTTGTTGACAGACTAAATTTGGACTTTATTCTGTAAGGAAAGTGGAGATCTGAATCTTTCAGAGAGGGGCGGCATAATGAAATTGATCCTGTGGATCAACTGACTTAATTGTAGTGTGAGGACAGATTTGAAAGAGGAAAGTTTAGGAAGGAAGACCACTATTGGTAGTCCAATTTTAATATTTCAGACAGCTACTTATAGACAGGTTGTTGGGATACTTGTCATGGAAATGAGAGAGAGATTGTGGGAATTTTGAAACCCCGCCTCTCCACCAGCTCCCGCTTCCTCCCATTCCCTCCTGTTCTGTCAGTGAGCCAGGGACAGCCCAGGAAGTGCATGTTTCAGCTCACTGCCAGTGAGTAGGAGGATTTGGAAATCACGGGAGCTGCTGCTGCTAAAGTCACCGCAAACATGGTTTTTCAAATCTATCTCCATTTTGTCAGCAATCTTTCTCCCATTACAATGGGTCTCCTTTCTGTGAGAGTGCGCTGGATTCCAGGTAAGAGGTTTTCCCCTTCCTCTTCCTCTTCCTACCAGCCTGAACTTAGAATTCTGTGCCTCTTTCCTGAAGAATACTGGGGGCTTCTGAAGTTTTCCACTCTGTGTGGAGCGGATGCATACAGCAACGCCACAGAGCTGGGAATTAAAGAGGTGGGATTTGTTTACTTGTTGTCAGGGAAACAGCCTTTCCGTTTGTGTATTTTACACAACATATAGAGGCAGGATTCAGGGTTTAGCAATTCTTTTTTATCTGCAACCGATCACTCTTTAGATCTTTATCAATTGGAAATCGCTGCTACATGTTCTAATGTAAATGTTTGGTTCTTCTATTTGCATTCTAGGGTACTGCATTAAAACTTCTGTTTATTTTTCTGTAGCTTTTTATTATAGCTACTATCGATACATGATTTTATTTTTCTAAATTGGCTGATACAGAGTTATCAGAAATCATACTGATATATACTATAAGCTTTAAATTTTTTTTTTTAAGTTTGGCACCTGAGCTAACATCTTTTGCCAATCTTTTAAAAAATTTTTCCCTTCCTTTTTCTGCCCAAAGCCTCCCAGTACATAGTTGTATATTCTAGTTGTAGGTCCTTCTGGCTCTGCTATGTGGGATGCTGCCTCAGCATGGATTGATGAGTGGTGCTAGGTCCGTGCCCAGGATCCGAACTGGCAAAACCTTGGGCGGCTGAAGTGGAGTGCCTGAACTTTAACCACTTGGCTATGGGGCTGGCCTCAACTTTAAAATTGTTTAATTCAATAATTTAGTACTTGCAGTATGAAAGGCAGTGAGTTAGGTACTGGGGTGGGAGCAGATCCAAGACCTTGTACTCAAGGAATACTGGTAGCAGAGGTTATAAAGTATGTTCATCTTTAATGCACAAGACAGAATAAGATAAGTGCCATAAGAAAGCTAAAACAGGCTGTGTGAGTTCAGACTAAGAGAATCAGTTCTTGCTGTAGGAAATGGGAATGTTGTGTTTATGAAGCAGGTGACATGGCGCTGGATCTTGAAGGATGGGTAAGGTAAGTGAATTTCTCCTGCAGGAGATGGAAAATATCCTAGGTGAAGAGAAGGGTACAATTATGATGAGGAGAAGAGAATGGAGAGTGGTTCAGTTTGACTGGAGAGGACAGCATTAGTGAGAGGCAGAACTGGACAGATAGGTTGGTGTGAGACTGTACAGTGCCTAGCCAAGCAGTTTAGAATTACTTGGTAGACAGTGAGTAGTCATTTGTGAAGATTTTATGCAGGAATATATGATACCATCAGATCAATACTTAGGAAGATTAATTTAGTAGTAGTGCTTCCCAACCTTTTTCACATTGTAGCACACATAGAAAATGATAATATTTTTATCTCACATTGGAGTAAATTAGATGGGATCTGGAGCCTGGATGAGCTGCTTAGAGCTGGATGAGATTGGCTTGGGGCCTCTGGCCATCCCAAGGGCTAAGGGGATCAAGAAGCCCACCAATTAGAAAGCTCTGGCATAGAAGACAGCTTTCTGTCTAGTTTCTCTTTCAAATTAAGAGGCTGTGATAATATCCATCTACGAGGTTGTAAGGGCCTTTATCAGGACAGTAGAAAGGAAGTGACTGATAGGCAAGAGAATTTGAAGGCTCAGTGTTGATGAGAACAGGTTTGGGCCAGAGGGAAAATTGGGGACACTGCCTGGGAGGGATGGACTGATAAAACTCCCTATAAAAGATTTGCCCCCAGACACCCTTGCAAACTTCTGAGCCCTAGTAATTTGTACTGGCTATCCGATATCATCCCCTCAGCATCCTTTTCCTGGCCCTGCGTGGATATAGTCAGCAGAACTTAACAACTTAGTGAATGTGAGGGGAAAGTCAAGAAGGTGAATTCAAGACCCACAGAGATTTTGAAACTAGGTGATGTAGCAGGTGGCAAGATTAATTTGGAAGGGGGAAAATGAAAAATTCTCTCTTGACATACGGGGAGTCACTTGCAAGAAGTACTTGGTGAAATTGAAACTAGATAAGATTACCGAGAGAAAGTGCTGAAATTAAAGAGTAAAAGTCCAACATCAGACCTTAGGAACACATTCATGAGGTGATAAGGGCAAGAGGAGCTAATAAAGGGAATTAACATTTGGAAATTATCTACTATAATTATATTTAGTTATGACGATAGACATGAATGGGAAGTATTATCCTCCTTTTGTCTCCATTATTCCCATTTTATCCTTGAAAAACCTGAGGCTCAGAGTGATTAGTAACTTACCCAAGGTTTTCAGCTAACAGGTAGTGAAGCTGGCATAAAGCAAACAAAGAGGGAACAGGAAAGTTAGAAAAGTGCAATGTCTTGGAAGCCAAGAACAGAAAAGGGTTTAAGGAGTTGTTGACCACAATATGAAGTATTACAGAAAATTTGAAGAGTACGTAGTAAACAGCCGGTAGCATGCTATGGAGTAGAGAATATATAGACGTCTGAGTATTTTCTAAAATGTCAAATGTTGTAAATTCATGAATCTCTATTCAGACAAATGACCAATCAGTTTATTCAGTTTAATTCTA